AGGGGGAGGGTCAGAGGGAGAAGCAGACTCCCCGCTGAGCAGGGAGCCCGATGCGGGACTCGATCCTGGGACTCCAGGATCGTGACCTGAGCCGAAGGCAGTCGCTTAACCAACTGAGCCACCCAGGCGCCCCATAAGTGTTTGTTTAAAACAAAAATTGTCATATTATTTTATGATCACACCTTAAATACATCCCACATCATGGGGGCTATTTTAAGAAATCTCAATATACTGGGCGCCTGGGTGGCTCAGTCAGTTAAGCGTCTGCCTTCAGCTCAGATATGATCCCAGAGTCCTGGGATCGAGCCCCACATGGGGCTCCCTGCTCAGCGGGGAGTCTGTTTCTCCATCTGCACCCCCTCCACGTGCGCACACACTCTCTCTCTCTGTCTGAAATAAATAAAATCTTAAAAAAAAAGAAGAAGCAAAAGAAATCTCAATATACAGAAATTCAAACTTGCCTGGCAGAAAAACGAGAAGATTCGCGTATTGTCCTCTTTATTCTCTACCTGCATCTCCACCTTCAGAGTCCTTCTCCCGGCTCCTGGAGGCTGCTCCCTTCACTCGAAACACCTAGACTCCCTTGCCCTCCAGGGAGAGGCACCAGCGGGAGGAAAGATCACTTCTTCCTGTTTCCCCACGGCCGGCAGTTTCTGGCAGATGCTGTGGTCCTCCGTGGCTACAGCTCCGGCCGGCAGTCCCTGCCCTGCCTCCAGCTCACGCAGGATGCCAGGAACACCATTTCCTCCCCGGGCCCCTTCAGGCCCCTGGGTGGTACCAGCTTCCTGCTGTCCCTGTTCCCATCCCCCCTCGCTGGCTCCGCTGTCCCCACCCACTCCTCCTTGGACAGTACCTTTTTCAAAGCCTCTGTGCTTGAACTATCTTCCAATGGAATTTTGTTTCCTCTAGAGACTCTGACAGATTTAGAAATGAGCTTGTGTGAATGAAAAATATTTACTGCCATCTGTGAGCGCATGGTGCTTTTCCAAGTCACTCCATTTTTGAAATGTCCCCTTAACCACACCACTTCCCACACACGGTCGCGCTGCCAAAGGCAGGGTACAAGGTGAGGCTACAGTCGGGCCCTCGGACTGCTCGTGCAACTCCGAGGAAGGACCTGCGGGAGCCCAGCCCAGCCCCTTCCCGGTCTCCTGATGCTACTCCCGCCCGAGACCTCAAAGTGTAAGTAACCTCTCACATCTGGGCCCGGCAGGACTTTGGGGAATAACACGGAGCCCCCTCATCAGGGACAGAGGAAGGATTCGGGATTGGGCTCTGAGCTCTGGAAGAGTGAAAGAAGCACTGGGAGGGCGCCCGGAGAGGTTAGCACAGAAGGCAGCTGCGTGCAGGCGTGCATGTCGGCGGGCACATGCGTCCTCTCGCTCTTGAGTGTGCGTGGAGGGGTGTGCACCTGCCTCTCCAGGACCCCACACCCACCCTCGTGCTCCCAGTAAACAGACCTATGGCTGGGATATGGATGCCACCCCCTTGAACGTGGTGTCCTTGCACAGTTGACAACCCAAATACCCGGGCAGACTCTGGCCCTATGGACACATGTCCCCATTTTATGGGGGGAAGAAGCGAAGGCTCAAAGGGGTTAAGCGTCTTGCCTAATTCACAAGAGGAATGACGGTAGATCGGTCATTTTAAGAAAAGCAGCAGGGGGGCGCCTGGGTGGCTCAGTTGGTTAAGCGACTGCCTTCGGCTCAGGTCATGATCCTGGAGTTCCGGGATCGAGTCCCGCATCGGGCTCCCTGCTCGGCAGGGAGTCTGCTTCTCCCTCTCCCACTCCCCCATCTCATGCTCTCTCTATCTCATTCTCTCTCTCAAATAAATAAATAAAATCTTTAAAAAAAAAAAAGAAAGAAAGAAAAGCAGCAGGGTTTCCAGCACCTCCCTTGTTCCCTCTTTCCAAAACCAAGAGCCGCTCCTGAGTTCCAGAGCCCCCAGGGACGCTGGCTCCGCTGGCTGAGGTGAGAATGGATGAAGCTGACAGTCAGTGTGAAAGCCAAGCCAGGGCAGGTGGAGCGCCCCTGGGCAGACCCCATTGCCATGTGCCCAAACCCGCTGACAAGCTGACACTGGACCAGATGAGATGGGGTGGGAGCTGTTATCTGTGGGCTGGGGTGATCTGGGCTGCTGGGAGAGGTGCAGAGCCGTCTCCACAGGCAGGAAGGCCAGGAAGGCGGCAGCTCTGGGGAGCGGCGAGGGGAGGAGCTTGCTCCAATTGTTTTTGGTATAAGAAAGCAAGGCCCTCGGCTCAGCAATGACCAACGTTAGAAGCCAGTTTCTAGAAGCCTCCCCCCGCCCCACCACCACCATGTATTGTCTGCAGAGCTGGAAATCAAAAGAGGACTCTGGTCACAAGAGGTTTTTCATAAATTCAGTAGGACTAGCAGGAACCCTAAAGACCTCTATTACAAGATCAGCACCCCTATTTCAAAGAAGAGAAATCTGAGGCCCAGACAGGGCAGGTAACTTGAGGCCACCCAGCAACCCCACAGCCAAGTCAGAAATAGATGGCATGCCTGTAACTCAGAGCCAGATCGAGCTCTTTCTACCACTCCGGTAGGTCTTGTTTTCCATTCATATCTGTATCCTCTTACCCATTCAGAACCATTTCTGAATTGTGTATTCCTATCGGAGGATGCAAAGTTGGTGGGTGGGTCCTGCGGCCCGGGCTGCCAGGGTGCCAAGCCTCTCTTGACTTCTCAGCAATGGTGCAGCCAGCCTCACCGTGAGAATCAGGCCGCAAAGACTCCCCCCCGGCCCGCCCCACCCCCAATTACCCATTAATGAAACCCGCAAATCCACTGGATGGACTGAGTCTCAACTATCAGGGCTGGGTTCACAGACACAGAATGCAAAGACACAAGACATCAGGGTTAATAAACAGCTTTATTTGCCTTTGACAGCATCGATTTTCTTACATTCTCAATTAATTTGCCATTAAAGTGCGGGAAATTTTCTTAATCACGGTAACATTTATTAAAAGAAATCAGAACTAGTCTCAGGAAGGTGGCGGCCATGAAGGAAACATTTCTCCCACAATGCACAGAACGTGTTGAGCTGGGGGGACATCGGCCAATTTGCAAACAGATTCTAATTCCGTCTCACCGTGAACACCAAACTGGCTAGGACCGCCACCCCTGGGGGAAAAAAGCAATGCTAAAGAGACCTAAAGACACCCATGCGCCCTGCCTGGCGGCTCCTCTCGGCCCTCCCTGGGTGTTCCCTGTTTGAACAGATCCAATCTTAGGAGAAATGGAGGTCTGGCCCCCTCTACTGCCTTCTACCCCACCCCACCCTTACTAACAAAAGCCCCCAAAGTCATTACAGTGAAAAAGTGGGTTTCCATTACCCCGACACTAACAATGTTCAGTAAAAATGAGGATAATAAACACAAAAGCTTGCTTAGTAAACAGGAGCTCTCAGCATTCAATGCAAAAAAAACAAAACAAAACAAAACTGTAATCTCAAGGCAAATACTGTTGGCTCTGCACATGGGCTGGACGAACTTGGAACCCTTAGTTCCTGTATCTGTAAAGCTCCGGGCCGGGGGAACTAAGGCGGCTGGTTGGCTTTTTCAGCACTTGGCACGGGCAGAGGCCAGATCTCTGCATTACACTGAGGCTGTCGGCGTGTTTCTCTCTGGAGTTTATATACAAACACACCCAAGGCTGGTGTATTTTTATACATATATGTACACACACATAGAGGCCTGCTACTCTTTCTTGGAAACCACCAACTCCACCTCGGGAAGCTGGATGCCAACCTTAGACCCACTGTCATTGCTGGAAGAAGAAGACAGTCGGGACTTCTTAGAGGCCAAGGACACTCCACTTCCCTGTAACTTGCCTGTCTCGTCATCGCTCCCAGTCACCTCGTAATGACCTTTGCTCTTTGACCCCAATCCACCAAAGGTACCAAATTTCAGCTTTCCGTGTTTCCCTTTGACTTTCCCGCCTTCCAGTGACACTTCCCCACCTTCAAACTCCAAAGTCCCCGTCGGGGTGGAAGGCGCCGAGAGCTCCCGTTCGTCGCTGAAGGAATTTGAGCGGTGCCGGGGCTTCTTACTTTTAAATAAGGAGAATTTGCCTTTGGGTGATGACGTGTCAGCCTCGGCGTCTCCTTCCAGAGAACCCAGGCTGGCCTTCGAGCTCTTCAGGTCGCCTTTGGACCCTGAAATGGATGCTTCCGGGGAGCCCGTGACACCACCTTTCCCTTTAGGTTTGGAAAAATTGAACTTGGGCATTTTGATTTTGGACTTCTTAAGTTTTACGTCAGACTCTTCCCACTCTCCCTCTCCGGTCCCAGCCTGGACAGTGGCCTCCGCTTTAGGGAAGTTAATATCTACCCCCACTTCTCTGCCAACCAGCTCACGGCCAGAGAAGGTGAATTTGGGGATCTTCATCTTGGGGAATGTTACTTTTCCAGATCTGCTTTCCAAGTGACCTGGAGACGCAGACACACTCAGCCCAGGACCCTGGAGTCCAACCTGGCCTCCTTTCACACCTCCTTCTACCTTTGGTCCTGAGAAATGAAGTCCCCCAGCAAACTTAGGTGCATCCAAGTTGAGAGTGGAGGAGGCCTGGGGTCCTTTGACGTTCACGTTCCCTTCGCCCAGGCTGACAGCTGGGGCACTGACACCCCCTGAAACATCCACACCTTTGATTTTCGGGCCCTTCAAGCTGACACCGAAATCTGACTCAGGAGAGGCCACATTAAGTGAAGGCCCCTTGACGCTAATGTCGGGAGCAGCCCCATGGAAACCTATTCCTGAACCTTTCAGATCGCCTTTGATTGCGGGACCAGAAATTTGCCCCGTTGGGAGTTTCACACTCACGCCTGGCAGCTCCACACCATATCCAGAGGACTTAATTCCAGGCATCTGGACGTTTCCTTCGAGGCCTTGAACACTGATGCCCGGAAGACCTCCTCCAACAGTGGGGCCTTTCATTTCACCAGTGGCCCCGAGGCTCCCTTTTATTTTTGGTCCTTCCAAGTTCAGGTCCATGTCTGGTGCTGAGATTTGAGGGCCAGAGATCTGAGGCCCTTTCAGGTTCAGGCCTCCGAGGTTCACACCGATGCCTGGAGCCTGTAGTTCTCCAGTCACTTGTGGCCCTTTGACATTCATGTCCAAGTCGGACCCTGAAGTCGAGATGCCAAACTGGGGCAGCTTCATTTGGGGAAGTTTAATGCCACCTTCAGGGGCCTCCAAGCTTAGATCAGGAGCACCTACTGATACTTTAGGGCATTTGATGTCACCAGAGACAGCCAGGTCTCCCTGCAGGCTTGGTCCCTTCAGGGTCACATCTGGGGTGCCCAGGTTTAGCGTGGCGTCGATCCCAGGCACTTTCACACTGTCTCCTTCCATCCTCACCTTTCCACCTTGACCTCTGAGGTCAAGCCCTGGGGAGTGCACCTTCACACCGGGAACAGAGGCATCCAGGTCTCCCTTCAAACTTGGTCCTTTCAAGTTCAGGTCAAGGCCAGGTCCAGAGGCTTTTGGCATAGAGAGGTTCACTGAAGGCAAGTCTACTCTTGGCCCTTTCAGAGACACATCCGGCCCTTCAAGCTTAACATCAGGTGCACTCAAGCCTCCTCCGAGAGAGGGCAGCTGGGCATGGACCTCAGCTCCTACCCCTTCCATCTTCACACCAGGGACGCTGATCTTGGGCATTGAAAACTTGGGGAATTTGATCTTTGATTCTGGACCTTGCAGATCTACGTCTGGTCCTTCCAGTCCCACAATGGGGACATCACCCTTTATCTTTGGTCCTTTCAAGCTAACGTTCACATCGGGGATGGAGACCTGAGGGCCAGAAATGCCGAACGACGGGGCTTTGACTTTAGCATCTGGGCCTTCAATGTTGATGTCAGGTGCGTCCAAGTTCGCCTGCACCCTGGGGCCTTTCAAGTCACCCTCTATTTTTCCCCCTGAGACATCCATACCGGGCAGCTTGATCTTGGGAGCCTTCAGCTTGATATCGGGACCTTCCACATGAATCCCAGGAGAAGAAATATCCACATCAGGTGCCTGGATTTCACCCTCCAGTTTGGGGCTAGGGAGGGGGGCCTCAGCTTTGAATTTAGGTGATTTAATGTCAAATTCTACATCTGGAAAGTACATTTTCCCAAACATAGGTTTCTTGGTTTTGGGGGATTTCACATCAGCTTTAAGTGCGGCGTCTGGCCCGGCAACATTGACATCTACATCAGGAGGCTTGAGACTGGCATCAATTTCGTTCCCGGGAACATTCAAGTCAAATCCCTGTTTTTTGGCCTTCATTTTAGGGCCACTCATGTGAATTCTTGGCATTTTAAACTTACTCTTCTTGCCCTTGCCACCAACACTAATTTCAGGAGTCTCAACATTCAGCTCTGCCTCAGGAATGGTCACATCCAGGGAAGGTGACTTAAAGTCAGCTTTAGGGCTTTTTGCCCCAAAACCAAACTTGGGTTTCCTAAATTTGGGAATTTTAATGTCTGGCCCCTCAATATTAATATCTGGGCTCTCTGTGTGTACATCTAAGCTTGGAGCTTCTAAATCAACTTTGGGCCCTTTGAGGTCCAGTTCAGCACCTTCCAATTTGGGACCAGAAACCCCAATTTTGGGTGCCTTGAAATGCAAATCAACATCAGGAACAGTTACTTTAGGGGCAGATATATCCAACGATGGCATCTTCAAATTTGGGCCACTGAACCTGGCATCCGGGCCTTCAAAATCCAGACCTGAACCTTTAAGGTCTACTTCTGGGCCTTTGAAAGTACCTTCAATCTTAGGGACGGACACATCAAAATCTCCTTTGACTTTGGATCCTTTCAAATCCAGGTCAACATCAGGCATGGAGATTTTGGGAGCTTTGATGTTTATCTCTGGCATCTTGAACTTGGGACTCTTCAGTTTCGCGTCTGGACCTTCAATATTCACATCCGGGGCATCAATGTCCACTTTGGGGCCAGAAATATCAATGTCAGCCTTTGGCAGGTTCACATCCACTTCTGGGCCCTCTCCTTTGAAGCCAGGCAT